TTTTTTTTTTTTTTTTTAATCCAGTGTTGGTACTAATTTTTTTTAATGTTTTTTATTTATTTTTGAGAGAGAGGGAGGGTCAGAGAGTAAGGGAGACAGAGAAGCCCAAGTAGACTACACAGTGTCAGCACAGAGCCCAATGCAGGGCTCAAACTCATGAGCGGTGAGATCATTACCTGAGCTAAAATCAAGACTTGGCCACTTAACGACTGAGTCACACAAGTGCTCCTAATGTTTTATCTTTTTGTCCAGAAAAACGTTTTTATAATTCCCTTTGATTCAGACATAGTGCAGTGACAGTTGTATAAACTATCTGCAGAAAGCTAAGTAAAATATAGTTGAAAGGTTTGGGTAAATTAATTTATTCATTCATTCATTTAATTTTATTTGTTTATTTTGGAGAGAGAGAGCACTGAAGCGGGGTAGAGGGAGAGAGAAGTCCAAGCAGGTCCTGTGCTGTCAGTGCAGAGTCTGACACGGGGCTCATTCCCACAGATGGTGAGATCACGACCTGAGCCAAAATCAAGAGTCAGACGCTCAACTGACTGAGTCACTCAGGGGCCTGTAGATTTCTCTGTTTTAAGGCTTATTTCAGATTAAGTTCTAGATTTTAAGAAGTTTCATTTATAGAGGTATAACTAAGAAAACATGAATATCAGGTTTTGTGTTTTTTTTTTTTTAACGAGTATCAGTTTGTTAAGACTAGACATATGTCACTTAGCAGCAGCCCAGCATAAAATACAGGAATGACTTAAACGTGACTATATTTAATTTGTTCTTCAAATTAAACATTGTTTTATGTTTTCCTTATGTGGTTGCTTTAGTTTCTAAATCCATGGCTTCCTTCCATCCTGTGGGTTGGTGATCCATGCTGTGGATGGCAGAGTAACTGGAAAAGAGTCTTAAAATCACATGTATATGGTGTAGGCTGAAAATACTTAATACAGTAACCTATTGCTATTTTTCCAATATAAGTAGACATGAATTTAAATTACTGATTTCATGATAGTCTTGTGTACTATAAAACTATACTGCTGTCATGAGGCGTAAGGGTGAATTTTGTAGCAGTGGTATAAAAGTATAAACAAAATTGTTAACGTGCCATCTTAAAATACATCTATTGAGGGGCGCCTGGGTGGCTCAGTCGGTTGAGTGTCCGACTTCAGCTCAGGTCCATGATCTCTCGGTCTGTGAGTTCGAGCCCTGTGTCGGGCTCTGTGTTGACAGCTCAGAGCCTAGAGCCTGCTTCGGATTCTGTGTCTCCCTCTCTCTCTGCCCCTCCCCCACTCATGCTCTCTCTCTTTAAAAAATAAGTAAACATTAAAAATATATATATATATTGAATGAACCTGTTACAAATTGGGGTGCCTGGCTGGCTCAGGCTCTGTATAATGTGTGACTCTTGATCTCAGCGTCCTGAGTTCAAGCCCCATGTCAAGTATGGAGCCTACTTAAAAAAATAAAATTTACAAATGGAAGTTTTAAGGTGCTTTTTTTTTTAATGTTTAGTTTTGAGAGAGAGAGAGAGAGAGGGATCATTCAAGTGCATGGGGGAAGGGCAGAGGGAGAGGGAGAGAGAATCTTAAACAGGTTCCACACGCAGTGTAGAGCCCAACTAGGGGTTTGATCTCCGTACCATGAGATCATGACCTGAGCCGAAATCGAGAGTCAGACGCTCAACCAACTGAGCCACCCAGACACCCCGACAAAAATCTTTTATTAGGGGTGCCTGGGTGGCTCAGTTGGTTGGGTGTCTGACTTTGGCTCAGGTCATGATCTTGTGGTCCATGAGTTCAAGCCCCACGTCGGGCTCTGTGCTGACAGCTCAGAGCCTGGAGCCTGCTTCTGCTTCTGTGTCTCTCTCTCTCTCTCTCTCTCTCTCTCTCTCTCTCTCTCTCTCTCTTTGTCCCTAACCCACTTGCATTCTATCTCTGTCTCTCTCAAAAATAAATTAACATTAAAAAAAAAAATCTTATATTAAGTCCCTTGTACATTTGGTAAACACAACGGTTTGGTGTGGGCTTTTTTTGGGGGTTTTTTTCTTGTTGTTGTTTATTTTTGTTTTTGTTTCAGAGTAATTCATTTACATCACCAACCTTTAAACTTTAGGGAAAATGGAGGATAGATACTTGGAATAATTCATAATAGTATTTTCAATTTCATCATTTAAATTTCTGAAAGGTCATTTATTTATTTATTTTAATTTCATTTTTAAGTAATCTTCACACCCAACATGGGGTCCAATCCCGAGATTGAGAGTTGCACATTCAGCTGACTGGACCTACCTAGGCACCCCTAAAAAGTTGATACTTTTTTTTTAAGTTTATATTTTTTGACCCAAAATTCTTTTTCACCAGATTTTCGCTTACAGAATGTTTTCTGTGATAATGAAAATTTTTAGCCAGCAACAGGAATTCCTTTAAAAAAGGTGTTTGCCCTTGGGGCGCCTGGGTGGCGCAGTCGGTTAAGCGTCCGA